AAAGGTCTCCGAAGGAGTTGGAAAACACAGAACTACCCCGTGTAAGAAAACGCTTCGAAACTTCGAAAATTCTTTCAGATCCTAGATTAAATCCAAGCTTCCCGTAGCTCGCGATGAATATTCTAAAACAGCCCCCATTTAAAAATGAAAATTCGCTCTTTGCCACGGCAACATTCCACGCATTCAACGTTAAACAACCACCCACCCCTCGGAGGTACTTACAATACATCAAGATTTACATACATATTTGTATAAATTCCTTTCCCCCGGCGCAATCGCCGTCTCAACGTCTCAGAAAATTTACAACCCCTTCGTGCCCAAAGAAATACACCTGAAATTTCCAGTCCGCGGAGGGTGAGCGAGTCGAGCCGGAAAGGGGAAGAATAAATCCGCGGCGTGCAACGCTGGGTCACGGTACGCTCGGAAAAAGGACGAAGTCGAGGCAAGTGCACCGAGGACATCCGGGGGATGACGCCGCAACGGCGTCGTCGTCGTCGTCGTCGTCGTTGTCGTCGTCGTTGGTGCACCGGTCCGATGACGGCCGACCGTTGCACGTGTATATCGTCCGTCGCTCGTGAAATGTAGATCGACGGTGATTTACTTATCAAGAATCGACGCTTCGCCGGAGGTAAATGGTCGAGTCGTGACCATTAGTTCACGGACTGGCCAGCCCTGTACGTCGCGGAGGAGCCCGTGTGTGCGAATCGGCCCGGCGAGGGAGTAGGTACGCTAATATCCGCGCCGTGTGAGGCCTTCCCCCGGCCCAACACGATGTTCTTGTCTCTCCACCTAACGTCCATCGAGATATTCCGCCGTGGACCTTTAAATTATTTCGCCCCGGTGATCGGCTCGGGACAATCGGGAATTACGAGCGGCCGGGGAACGGGTTGATATTTTCATTCCCGCGGATCGAGCAATGGGACCTGAGTTACGGGATTGCGAGTGATCCCGAGATTCCGGATTGCCTGTGCGGATTTTCGCGTACTGTCAACACTAAAAGTGCCAGACAGGTCAGAACGACCCTGAGTTCCTCGTTTTGCGATCATTAAGACGATAACAGATGTTCCTCCGAGAAATGATTAAAGAGATCGATTTGTCAATACGAAAACTGAATTGTAGATCAATGGGAACCTCGATGAGTGCGTTTTTCGAGTTTCTATAGAGAAATTTCAGGTCGATTGAATCACTCGATAGTTTTAGTGTTATCTGGGGAGATTTCATGGTTCTCTTAGCAACGCGTCGTCCTTTGACTACTATAGTTTATAATATCTTATCTTCTTTGTATTCTAGTTGTGACAAATAAATCAGTGCTATTGAATTGTTGTGTATTGTTCGAAAGGTCTTCTCTGGTCTATGAGTTCTCTGATCGGTATGTGTTAAGTTATTGTAGTGCGGATGCACTAAAATTAAGCGCAAGTATTGTTCTAATTTTACTTTGGGATCTCACAGCGGTTTTAGTAGAGAAATCGATATTCTACGGTTCTGCCTGTTGCGAATTGATGTAAGGAACGTTCTGCTTGCATAAGTGCGTATAGTTTTTTTGCAGGTATAAGTGACCGATCGAACCCCAAACAGCGCTGTTGAAGTTTCACTTCATCGATACGGTTATCACCGGGAGGTTATCCAACGTTATAACGCACTCCGCGGCGCACCTGCCGTCTACGACTTAATTCCCAGCAAACGGTTTTCGCCTGACGATTTAAAAGTGCCGCGAAACGATGTGATTACACGTACGCCCGATGCGAAACGTGTTAAGATGAAATGTACGAGGGGAAAGTAGGGTGGCGGGTATCGTAAACGGCCCCCGACGAATCCGAATGACACCCGAGGCTGGCCGATCACGTGAGTATCAAGTGAATGATTTCACAAGCGAGCGAATAGGCCGTGTCTAATGTGTAAATATGAATGCAAATAAAACAGAATATAACGCCCGCTGTGTAAATTAATTGAATTTGACCGTTAAGATCGAAAGATTTATCGATTCGAATGATTACACGTTCGACTTAATGATCGCCGGTGAAAGGAATGCACCCGGGGGAAAAAGAAATATTTGTTATGCGCAATTAAGGGACGCATTGTCTACGATCGTTCGGACGGATAATAATTGATACGTTTTCAGCGGGGTGATAATTTACGGTTGAAATATTTATAGGCTCCTCCAGCCGCTATTTATTGTTCTTAAGCTTAACACCGATCTAACGGATAAAATAATAGAAAGAATATTTATGAAGCACTGTTACAATTGATACTTCGATCATTACACGCGCCATAAATTAAATTGCGGATAAACGATACTCCTGTTATGGACGAATGGCTTCTATAGAATCCGAGTTTCCATTTCCGAACGTTTGTCTCAATAAACGTCACGAACGTGTCAACGATTCTATGGGATTACCTATTGAATCCTCTATTTTTTCCATCCACAAGCGTGAACAGCCAACCTTCGCATTGAAGGGATCAAGGAAATGACAATGAAGCTTCTTCCAGAGACGAGGTAATAACTGTCCCCTCTATTTTTTCCCGTTTCCGTGGATATTAATGTAATTTCGGTGGCCATTACGAGCCTTGTTTCCGCGGCGAGCCTCGCAATTTCAATCGCGGAACGATCCACGCAACCGGGTCAGCTCGTTACAACCAGCCAGGAACAGCCGGTCCACGCTCGTCACGGCAGCAAGTCAAGCAGGGAAGCAATTTCTGTAATTCCAGTGGCCATTCGAAGACGACGCTCGGGAACCGCGACGTTTGCGCAACCGCGGCGGAGGCCTAGAATCGCTACGGCCGCGGCGCGTCACGATAAGGGCCCCGTTTTATCGACGTGCACGCAATTGACAATAAATTGCCGCTGCACAGGCGAATCATGCGCCAGCCGATCGTGGCACAACAAAAAATTATCGTGCCGCGACCTGCTTACGTTCGGAAAACAACGAGATACCGTGCGGCTCGCACGAATCGGAGTAAGTGCTCGAAAAATGCACATTATTTTGAGAAAGGGGCTCTCGAGATTACTCAAATTGTCGGCTGGAGGAAAAAGTGCGCGAGTTACTTCGGTATCTGTCGTTGCAGCGTTGAATCTTCGAGATTCGACGGGTCAAAGATTGATGATTTCATTTGACACCGTTCCTACGAAACACGGTCGCCATGTTTGTATCGCGTACAGCGTATTCACTTGCATAACTCAAGCGAATATTCGGTATTTTCAATGGAACAACCGTACAATCTACTTGCAACTATATTATTATAGAAGAATTCGATGGATTTCTACTAATCACGTTCAAAATGATAAATTATAATCTCTCAGAGGGTGTAAGAGTGAGCCAATGATCAATAGAATGAGAAATAAACCGATTAGCAACAATAATAAATAATGCATACCGGTTGCAATCGGGAATGCGCATTCTTTTCGTCATCTATAAACGCTTATCTCCAATTTCCGTGCAGCTCGCTGTACAATTAGACAACTTTCCCCGCAATGATACATATGATAAATAATCACGCAGGAAGTTACGCAACTCCCCGATTTCCGGTGGGCGAGAAAAAGCGGAATCTCTTTCTACCGAAGGAATGTCGCGTCGCGGAAATTCCGCGGTTCCTTTACCAGACGAAATTCCCATACTGGCGAGTGCACTTGGCTCAGCAGGAATTCTCTCACGTTTCACAGGTCCCGGCGATTTCCATTCCGAGAAACAATTGCGCCCCGCTCGGCCGGGAATACCCGGAAATCACCTGTCCCGCCATATTTCGCGCCGCGCCGACTCCAGACGGTTAATCCCCCGGCTTACGGCCGACAATTCCGCAGGTAAAGGCGTTCGCCGGGCCACTTGACCGCGATCCTTTCGGACGAAAATCGTTCGACCGACCTCGCACGATTTCGGACAAAGACCGGCCAGAATTTTCCTTCGACGGCTTTTGACTCGTATTGTTCGAATTACCGACGGCACAAAGACAAGCAATTACCGCGATGACTTTGACTTCGCATTGTTCCGGGCTATTGGTAGCGTAAAGATAAATGATCGCTCCGATCGGGTGAATCGAGGAGGCGGGATCTCGGAAAGGTAAGAAAAGGATCTGTCGTTTGAATTTATCGGGGATTAAAACGTCCGAAGTCCTGCAACGGCGATAATGAAATTCCCAATAACGTTTAACGATGTCCTCGTTTTCTATGGTTCCAATTCCTATAAACTAGTCCATAACAATTTCTATTGGCGTCCGCGATCCACTTATCGCCGTTTGTTTCTGTTTGCGGACAGTAAATTTTCATCCGGTAATGATACTCGCGTTTCGATTAGCGAAATTAGTACTAGTTTCCAGGCTTCAATAAAACAGCTCTCAAAACATTTCTCAATCCCGCCTGTATCTCCGCGGGCGCCGCGCTGCAGGTACAACTCGCCGTTCAGCATTCAGGGTCATCAATGACGCGCAGATAATCATTCGAGAGTAAAGATATGAAACCGACCACAACGCTGCGCGAACTTCCACGGGAAGCGCTGCTGATAAATGTGGAAATTTTTGTGGTTCTAATTGGTTTACCGCGGTGTTATCGGGCATTCATAGGTACCAGCGTTATTTCTTGTACGGGAACATAACCGCGCCGATGTTTCGTGTCACCGTTGAGACCAGTTTCCGCCGATCCTGTTTCTCGAATTCCCATGAAACCAACCGTACCGATTTGTGGCAAGAAAACGGAGAAAGTGACGAAAAGAAGTACGCGGTGCTATCAAATTTCGCGAAAAATCCCCGTTGAACGTTCGGAAATCGTGATTGCCTGTACCGGTGCGAAACAGGTGTCGCTGCTCTACACGTTCATTAACACCAATATCAAGATAATTAAACGTTCAAATTGATAGCGGCGGAAAGAGTACAAGATTTCCAGGGACATAAATCTTCGTCCCGGGGCAAACGGTATAATTACATTGCACTTAACGTTTCGGCCCCGCGGATCGACGATCGCGATCAATCAAGGCTTAACCGTCCGTAACAAACAAACATGGACACCGACTCACCGATAGTAGTCCTTCTTGCAATATATGTTTCCGTCCCTACTGAAGCAAGTAACCTCGCCTTCCAGGCCCTGACGGCAGTGCGAGCACTGAAGACAGGCGGCGTGCCACCTCCTGTCAACAGCCTGCAGGTAGAACCTGTCGGATATCCGGAGACCACATCCGGCGCAAACCACCCCCGGCACGTCGTCGGACTGCGCCGGCGGGGTGGGCGGGGGCTCCAGCTTCGGGATAGCGTGCAAATGCTCCGATGTCTGCTGTTCTTGCGAGTGTGTCTGCGGATGGAGATGGGAGTGGTGATGGTGGTGGTGGTGATGGTGGTGGTGATGGGTGGCTTGGGGCGGCATGCTCAGGTCGCTGGGGTTCTCGAAGTTGCTGTTGTTGTTCCTGTACTCCTGTCCACCTGCTTCATACGTAAACGACAAAATGAATCTCTGCGCAGATGGGATTACGTGGATGATAGGTGATTTATAGTAGACCGTTGGGACTATAGCTCATGGTTACGATAGGTAATGATCGTGACAGTTAGTAGTTGCGATGGTTAATAGTTACAATGGTCTATCAATTTTTGAATAAACTTCTTCAGGGTATCAAGTTTTCATAGTGAAACGGTGCGAACATATTCTACGTTGCATCAATTTGAATTACTATTTATTCCAAAGTTACATTCAACTGTATATCCAGTAACATTCTAACGAAGCGAACACACATAAACACTTGACGAAAGAATCTGAGGCCCTATTTACATAAAAACATCAGACATCCAAGAAGCAACCCACCTCCAGGAGAATCGTAGTCCCTCGAGTCGTAAGGGGTGGTGGGTCCGTCGTAGCAGTTGTTGTTCGTGCCACAGTGGGTCTGATGCAGGGGTGTATGATGGGGCCCGTGATGGTGGGCGGCAGGAGGACTGCACGGTAAGGTGGTAGGTCGTGCAGCGTCGCCCATGGACGCGGGGAGGCAGGGACTTAGGTCCCTCGCCTGGTCCACTGCTCCGGGCCCCCCCGCACTGCCGGGCCCCCCTTGACGCCCCACAGCCAAGCCGCTGCCACGCTCCTGCGAGCTGGCCGGCTGCTGGAACAAACACCGGTGTCGAGGACTTTAGAAACTCTGCCTCTCGCGAGCCTCGACTGCGTATCGAGCACTTTTTGATTGACTTTTGGTTGCGCTCAACTGACCGGCCATCGGACACTACCATTGGGAACGGTTATTGCGAAGGCCGCCGACGAAAACGGAACGGAACCGTTCGCGGGGCAAGGTCCCTCGAATCGCTGAGTAATCTCGCTCCGATAGATCCGAGTCTATTCGAGCGCACGTTCGACGACGGTTGAATCTAGTCGAGCCTCGTTGGATGATCTCGCGGAACCGCTTCGAAGTCATTTAACCCGAAGTCCCCCGTCTCCTACCGTCGATCTTGTCACCCCGAGAATAAAGAACGAATCGAACGTAATGGCTCGTTAATTCATACCCGTAGCATCGGCTCGGCCGTTCAGCAACACTGTCTACGCTACCTAAAAGAGCACGTTGTTCTATTTCTTCACGGTTCGCCGATGGCAAAACCGACTCGGTAGAATCGGCCCTTTCAGCGCGGCCCGCGCCGCGCGCGAAAGAAAGAGGATCGATCGGTCGCCGTTCGATCCGCGGCCTCGCGTCCTTAAACGTCTATCCTGGCGGCGGTGCCGCGAAGAAGTCACCTAGAACAGTGTCACGGTGCTGCGGAAAAAAGTCGCCGGCGAGAAATCAATGACCAAAGAGAAACGCGCGGTGAAAGTGATCAAGGAGCATCCAATTAAAGGTTCCATCGCGCGGTGAAGCTCGCGTAGCGTGGACGAAGTCCAACCAACGGCACGAAAAATACAACGCCGGCGGACACCGGTGATCCACCCCTTATCGAAAACCCCGTGGTTCACCAATTCCAACGGCGTCCGTCGTCCGCGAAGGGGGTATGTGTGTCGGTAAAAGTAAGCAACCGGCGAACACGGCGAGAGGACACTTTCCATCGAGGCGGCGGACGTCGAGGAACCGTAAAGGCCGGGAAGACGTCGCGGACAGGCGACGGCCGGAATAGGCGAAATAGGACAACAACCCGGGGGCGAACCTGGCGAAGACGAGGAGGAGGAAGGACGGGAAGATGGTACGGCAGCCGAAGTGACAGCGGATTACGGCTCGGTTGACATCGGCAAAGGGCAGCTCGGTGGGCTAGAGAAAAGGAGAAAGATAAAGAGTCGGCGGCACGCTGACGGCCAGTAGCCGGTCGCCGCTGATGGATGTCGCAAGGCGGTGTAACGCGCATGCGCGCGACCCTATAAGGCGCCCGGAGCCGACCAATCCGAGTCGCCGCCGTGTTTCAACTGTCAACGCGGCAGCGCGCGGCGTACACCGCGGCTCGCTCCGGACATAAATTACGCGGACTAGCTACCGCTGCTGCGGCTGCTGCTGCTACTGCTGCAGCCCTGGGTCCTCTCTCCGTCCCTCTCCCTCTCGCTCACTCTCTCTCTCTCTCTCTACCAGCACGTCTATCCCTTTTTTCCCTTTCCCCCCTCTGACTGTTTCCCGGCACAGCAACCCTCTTCGGACAACCCTTGCCTCCGCGGTTTCCTTTCCAGCCGCTCTTCGTCTTCCTCGCGGAAAACCGATGCTGAAGTTTACGACACCAGATACCGGTATTTACTGCGACTCGGAGCGAGCGGCGCGTTTGCGATCGACGGAAGGGCGGTAAACTGCTCTCCGCGGCGGCGGGATATCGTAAAGACCGCGAGCCGGAGTACCCGCGGCCTCGCTGACGAATTTAAACAAGGATTCCGTTGGCCGCGCGGAATTAATTGGCGACTTCGACGCGCGTCGCGCCTCGGGGATGCTTCGGGGAATATTCTGATCCGATCCAATTACTGGATTCATGATTCACGTCTGCGAGCGGAGCGTATCTTGGTGATCGAATATGCCGAAGCAGCGATTTTCAAGGGACCGTGTTGTAGTTTGTTTTTGTATGCCTGTTGGATCCTCGTGGATGGATTCCCGATGAATGCGGGGAGCGGGACACTCGCCGGCTGCTAAATAAAGAACAAAGTAATCTGGACGATGATCCGCGCGCGATATTCGCGTTCTGATAGACACGCCGCTCTTGGTTTTTTTCCTTCTTTTCCTGTCCGATCGAAGTCGATACGTTTTCAGACACCCACCGCGCGGAGAGATCGCCCGGATAAATCCCGGGCCGCGCGTTACGCGCCAAGGAAACCGCGCGGTAGAAATTGCCGGGGCTTGGTTCGTCGCCGGATTTTCACCGCGCGACGTAACGGTTACGCGGACGGCCGTTGTTTCTTATGTAATAAACCGGGTCGCGGAAGGAATCCTAGGAACGCGATAGTTTCCATTTGTCCCGGCGACCGATCGGGATCCGCGGCCGTTTTCTATCGGGGATCATTGACTAGCTTTCGATCGGAACTTTGATTGGACGAATTTCTTGCCGCCGTCGCCGTGTCGCGCCGGTACGCCCCGCAGAGGTGGACTCGATTCTCTCGCGGAGATATGTAATTTTTGAACTAGTTCTGCCGATACGTGGAGGACGACTTCGCTGGCACTCGGAGAATTCTTGTTTCCTCTCGAAACGATAGTGAAAGTTTCTTTATTTTTTGCTTGGCCTAGTTTGTCGGGAAATTGCCGGACGCCGATGAATTAATTTTTAGCGTCCGCTCCTTGCGAGTTCAACTGTTAACGCGTTATTCTTCTTGTGGTCGTTTCTAAACTCGCGATGCGATTACACGGAACACGAGAATCGAACGATGACGGCAGACTCCTTCCGAAAATTGTCAACTTTGACTTACAGTTAACATTAGCCTTCGAAGCTGAGCGTCTCGAGCGAGGAACGGACAACGTACGCCGTTCCAGGCTTAATGTCATCATTAACCTCCAGCGAATCGTTCGAACAATGCACGCTTTTTCCAGCGTTGAGGCGCGTTTCTTAACACTCCATTGTGTTAAGTTGCACTTGTGCGGCCGAAGACGTTCCCGGGAGCAGGCCGGCTCAGGTTTTCTTTCGACGTGTCTCAATGAGGTTTCCCAACCGCTCCTTGTATCGGGCATCCACGGAATCGCCGGCAACCAGTGTAAATGTAAATTCCACCTCCGACGAGCCGTGGCTGGAAATTATGCCCCGGTTTTTTTCCATTTGCGCGCCGGGTTTCTCACGAACCCGTCGCGACGCGCCGCTTTTTGCCGTCCTCCATTTTGGAGCGCGAGCACAGCGCTACGCCATGCGAGAATTTTACGAATGAAGAAGCCCGTTCCTTATGCAGATCAAGAACCGCGACCTGTGACCCAGATATCTAGTCGCTTCCGAGGAAAAGCGGACACCGACGACGGAAATGCCTGCGGCAACGGAACTGACCGAAAGAGGATGTCAGAAATAAATCTTTCACGAGGATAACCTTCAACTCTTCCCAACGATTCCATGCTTTCGCTCCTGTTTGCAAAGAAATCAGTCAAGAACCTTCTTCATTTAATAGTCATTGTGTTAAAGTTAATAGAAAAGACTGCCACGACCTTTCAAAAGACTCCAAATCGACCACCTATCTACAATATATTAATCATTCGAAAAAACCACATTCAACAACGTCATCACTAAACAAAAGAACACCAACATCTCAAGCCCAAAACCCACGAAAAACAGATTACAGTAGATTACTCCCACACTTCTCGATCCTACACGACAGAAAGGATATTCTCTAACATCGAAGCAAGGTTCCCACAAACGCAGCACGAGTGCAAGTCCATTTCCAGGATTTCCCGCGATTTCGCAAGGCGCTATCCTCGCGCGGCCATCCTATAAATTTCCCACGAAACGGCCGCGACCGGTCGATCGATCTTCACCGGGCCCGCAGATCCTTATCCATCCGTAGAAGTGGACCCGCGGCGCGCCGGCTCGGACCCCGCGGAACGGACTTTCACCGCGCGGCGCGCCGGCGAACTTGCACAAGACCCCGCCTTTTTCATTTTCGCGAAACGTGAAGTAAATAACGATCGCGCGGAATCCGCTCCGCTCCGCGTCGCTCTGGGCCAGGCCGTGCCGAGCCGGGCCGGGCCGGGCCGAGCTGGCCCGGTAGAATGCCGGCAGAAATGTCGTCCGGGCCCAGCTCCGTCGTCGGTCGTGCGTCGACCGCGCGCCGTTTCGAGATATCGACCGCCAATTGCGAACCGTTCTCCGTATGTACCTGCACTCTCGCCTCCGCTTCTGTTTTCTCCTTTTTCGCCCGCGCCGCGAATACGCGCTGACACGTTGACTGACCGCCGGCGACGATAACGGTATGATTTAGCGAGTCCCGCGGTCGATAACGAATCTGAGATTCATTTTTGCGAGGCTCGACCGCGAGGCCGAGCTCGCGAGGAATAAGTAATGAGGAGCGAGTCGATTTTTCGGGGAGCACGGTGGGAAGGGGGCATGGAAATTATTCGATACTCGAGGAGGGATTTCGTTCGATCGCTATGGTATACTCGATCTGATTGAAAAGTGGAAAGGGAGCTGGGAATCGGTAATGAGGTGTGACGATTTTTCGAGGGAACGACGAGACAAGGGGATATGGAAGGTGGTAGATATTGAGTCGAAGGATTTTGAAAAGTGTACGATAAAATTGAGAAGGTTCTTTAACCCTTTGTCCTACTGACGAGTAACGGACAGTTTATTACCAATTTATTATCTTCAAAGTTAATTTTCACTTACAGTGGAAGGGATCATTTTTTTGCGTTCCTTCTAAATTGTGGATGGTAAAATGTTACGAGCTTAGTGAACGTGAATAATACGCCAAAGAGTTGAGTTGGATTTTGTTGATACTGTACCGAAGAAAAATTTGTTAAGGGAATCGTACGAACACCGTGATTTTCAATTCGATTCTCGACGACCTTCACACCATTCGAACTCTCGTCGCTCAATTTCGCGGTCCTTTTTGTCTAACGATTGACGGTCGAGCCACCGCGATTCGTCATTATCCGCTGAAAATCGTTGGCAACGTTTTTACCTGGTTACCTGGGAACCCGCAGAGCATCCTTGAAACTTTTCCCGGCAGAGCCGCGCGTGGAAACTT